ATTACCCACACAGCCTTTTTGCACAAGGCTGTTGGTTATGTGGTTATCCACATGGTTAACCACATGTGGATAACCACATGTGGGTATCACCTGAGTTACCTCGGGTACACTATGATCAGCAATCAAGTAACTATGCATGTGTGAGAAAACTGAAACTTGAGAGCCTGACAACGAAAATTGCTACAATTCACAATGTCTATAATTACTAGATGCCTCTAAGCTACAAGAGTAATTTTACATAGGTTTGTAGCTTGACTCTATCCAGACCTGATGAATGAATAGTATTATGAGATGATTAGTTCATCAATGGACAAACCATGAGACAATGACTTCATAATGTCTCAGTTAGAATACATACAATATAAGGATGAGAGACACTGAGCAGTCAATCATCACCTCACCCCTTGTCTATACATGCCCCCCTTAAGTTTTCCCTCTCAACAGGTTATAAGCCTTGAGCTCCCTACATACATGCATCTACTATACACTCTAAACTCTTTACTTGCATACATTTGCACACATTTGCATTATGGTTCCCCTATGTACAGATACACACTGTAAACCAGTTAATGTACCTAAATACTTTAGTCAAAACATTACAATACTTAAGACTGAAGCAAACTATAAGATGTAGCACTACTACATTGTTTCTAGTGTTACAGCTATGTGCTTCAAACACTTACTAAAGGATGAACCACAGAATGAAGCTAAGAGAGAGATAGCTAAGGCTATTCATACATGTATAGTTAATAACATTACTGACACAATATTAGCAAACTATATACACTTTGATACATCTATCCCTCAGTTAATGAAAGTGCTTGAAGAATGCTTTAACCTCTAGACAGTACATAAAAAGGCTATCAATGAATCCACACTGTTTATTTGTAGAGACTATGTAAAACATTTTGAACATACATTAGACAGACTTGAGGAAGCATACACAACTCTGTCTACTAACAGTGATCCACTATACAACTCTACATACAAAGCAGCAATATTGCTTACTACTCCTGAGCAATATACACACATAGTAAATACAATAATACAATCTACTGATACCCAAAACAAAGGCAAACCAGTTGATGAACATAAGAAAGTCAAACTGAAGCAACTAATCCTTACATTATGAAACACCTACAATGATTACTGTACTAAACAAGTACAAGATTCTAATGATTGGACAAAGAATAATGTACACACTAATACAATGTATAAAGCTAATAAGTAGAGGAAATTCAATCTGTCAAATCTGTTCAATCCAACAAAAGCAAAATGTTTCAATTGTGGAAAAATAGGACATTTCTCTAAGGAATGCTGTAAACCTCCTACTAAAGCTATAAAGCTTGCACACACTAAACATCAAGCTAACATTGTGTATAAAACAAATCAAACTGTAGAAAACACAACAAACACATTTATTATTAAAAACTCAAACAAAAACAATGTTAAATTAAAGGAAAGCAATATTGAAATGAACAATAACACTTATACTCTTATTCTAAGCAACTAGGACAAACAATTCGAACAATATGCTTTCTGAGTATGTACTAACATATTTACAAATACAATCATAGCTAACAAGAAATCCTTTACACAAATGATAGATTTACTTGATTCTAGTGTATTAATACATGCTACTCCTTATCTATTTCAATTAACAGATGTACACAACATAACTCTTACAATTGTAACTATTGTAAATAGATTAACAATGACTCTTAATTGAGCTGGATCTATGTGTATCAAAATCC